TTAGAATGAGCAATGATTCTATGCATAATTTATAAGATAAGTTCTATGAATTTTTGAGGATTGAAGAGAGGATAATCGAAAATTAATATGATATATTCATTATAATGATAATATTAAATATTAAACCTTTTACATTATTAGGTAGTCGTATTACATCAATAAGCTTTAAGTTTTCTTTTGAATAAAATTTTTTTTTTTCCAATGACTTAAGAAAAGGGAAGAGATGGTTGATAAGAAAATAAGCATATTAAATCGTGGGATCAAATAATAGTTTAAAGAGAATACCTACAAGGTAGATAAAAATTAGATCCCTTTTATAAAAGAAATACTCTATAAATAGAGATTAAAGCCAAAAAAGTCGAGGCTTGATGATAGAATTAAATTCTTAAGTACTCAACACTTAAGGAAGCAAAAATTTATGATAGCCCAATTTAGAAATTATCTAATAAACATAATGTGCAGATGGGTTGATTTTTATATTCCAATTGTAAGCGGCATGGAATGTGCCATAAGTATATTGAAAACTAAATATGATGAATGCTTATATAGATATCTTATAGTTAATTTTATATCAAAGAATATAGGTGGGCGAGGTTCATAATATCTCCTCTTTTAGGTTGAAAGGAAAATCTTGAATAATACTAGAATATCAAAAATTATAATTTAGGGATAATGTAATGAAGTAGCTCAATTCATTAGAAACCGCTTTTTAGATATAAATATTTTGTATACAATAGGGTAAAGATCTTTGAGATACTCATAATAAATAAGGCAAATATTAACATCATCAATCAGCAATATTTGAATAACTACTAAAACTTAATCATTTTAATAACAGAGGATGCTATAAAAATTTGAATAATAGGAGGTAGGAAAAGAATTCCAGTCAAAACTCCAGAGCTCTCTAAACACTAAAAAACGGATTTTATTTTAATTTATATATTGCTCTATGTTTTTGAATATGTAATTTTATTTAGGTAGCGAATTGAATGGAATATATAATTCAACAGAAAATTTGAAGAGTATAACGGAAAGATTAAGTATAAAATTTTGAACACTGCAAGAGATAAACCAGATGATTTATTCTAATCTGAAAGAAATTGAATGCAAAACAAAAATTGAGAGAATATGTTTTTGGTGTAAAATTTAACCTAAAGCAGAAATTATTTTTTAGTTTTTTGTTTGCTACGAATGCTTAATTGGATAATTAATTTATAGCCGAATCATAACAAGCTAAGAATCTGATCAGCATGACTTTAAAAAAAAAGGTTCTGGAATTAAGATTTTTGAATATTTATTAAAAGTTAAATAAAGCTTCTCAATTCCAAAATTATAAAAAGGCTGTTATTGAGGAAAGAAGACTGAAAATAATACTAAAAGTAATATATATAAAAAGTTCGAACATATGACTATGGCTAATAAAGGAAAAATAAAAGAAATTCAATATATTATAATCAAATTTGAAAAGAAATTGAACTTATTAAGATTGAAAAAATTTATCCAGATGAGAATACTCTATTGGAAATAATGATGATCTTTAAGGTTAAATTGAGACTTTTTTTTTATTTTTTTAATTTCACCATTGATATCTCTTTTTTAAATTTCAACATCTTGTCCTTAATTCAAAATTAGTGTTCTTAAATATATTTATTAAGTAACTCAACTAATCATATTTTCAATAATTTTATTTCAGAATTGAAATGATTTTAAGTAGAGTTCTTTTTGGCAATTACATTGGAATATATTGTTAATAGTTCATACTATAAAATTTAATTATCATTGTATTTCTATAGGAAATCTGGCTTGGACTTAAATTTGAAGTGAGGAAAGAAACAGTATATCCTTTCATTTTGTCTCTTAAAATGATATTAGTAAAAACTTATTATTTTATAGTTTAATATATCAAAAGTCACTTCAGAAACTGGCAACCACTTTAGCAAGTATCATTTATTATAGGTTATTGCTTTTTAAATTAAATGGAGAATCTGATGAAAGATTCAAATTATCTCTTTAGGCTCTTCAACCATCGATAAAGAATGCTTTTCTAACTTCTATCTCATGGGAAAATTTCAAATTGCTTCTCCATTCTTCAAATATCATAGTTTTTGTCTTTCCAAATGATCACTTTCAATATTTATAGAGGTCTATTGCGATCGATCGCTTTTCTAGAAAACAAATACGAAGATTTCTTGATACTATAATCTTTAATGCTTCTATTTCTTGTACTATTTTATATTTTATCACAGATTCTACATTTTTTCTTTATCTTCGAGCCAGTCATTTTTAATATGCGACCCTAATTTAGTTTATAATGTGATTACTTCAATCTTTTCCTGCTAGTGTATAAACTATGGTTTGATATACAATTTTCTCAAATGCTAAATCTCTCAGCAAGCTAAGATGATTCATCTCATCTATTATTATATCCACCTGATTTTTTGAGATGTCCTCCTTATCATTAATAGGCTTTCTCTATTTATGCAAGTGCAATCTACTGCTGCACCATATGACTCTGTTCAAATTCTCTTATTTTATCTTTCAAGTATAATAAAATCATATAAAAAATTTCTCAAGGAAATAATTTTTACAACCTATTCAGAAAACATATTTAAGTTGTCGCTTCATTATTGTTTAATCATAACTAGTACTATTAATGATAAAAATTCCTTTTGAAACAATCTATTCTCTTATAATTCTGTTGAAAGACCCAAAAACTTTTGGTTCCCTTAACTTATTTTAAAAAATTGTTTTATTTTCCTTTCTGAAAAATAATCGCTGTTGCAATATCAGTAGTTTCAAAAGCAAATGCAATTACGAAGTTGCTCATAAAAATAGGATATCCTTAAGTATTGTATCTTTAACATCTCATCCACAACTTCAGGAATTTACTTAGAATATACAATATATAATCTTATGATTTGACCTTTAATGTAAGCATTTATTCTCAATAGTATAATGGGTAATTCAATGTAAGAAAAATTAATGGAAATCCTTATACTGATTTATAAATTCAAAATCCAAATTAATATTATTTTTAATTCCTCTCATTTCCTTCCAATTATTTCATTCTAAATTAAATGGTACATATATAAAAAATATCAATTAACATCATCCTGAACTCTCCTATCATAAGTCACTTATATCTAACACAAAATTCGCCATTAAATAGAAGGCCTTTCTGGCTTACCCTATGAATAGGAAAACGATGAATACAAGAAAGAGAGATGATTATTTTTATAAATAATAATACTATTAGGATAATATATTTGAGGGGTATTAATAAATTTGAATATAAATAGATAAAGTGAGAAGTAAAAATGTAAATAATAATTATAAAAATGAATAGTCAATAGAGTGTTGCTTAATTACAAAATAAAGTTGAAGAATGTCTTGTAGATATTTCATAATAAATAGATGTAAGTTATTGAAATATATTTAATGATTAGTCTTCTTTCAGCAGAATTGATGCTTTTCTTGATTAAGTCATTGTTGTTCCTTAGTTATCTGTTGCTCATAAACATGTTAATTATGTACTTCCAGTTGTTTAATTATAACCATTTATATAAACATTAGCCAATTCAATTATTCAACAAGTTAAACCAATAATCAATTAAACTATTCATCAACAAATTAAATAAAATCAACTTTAACTCACTCAATCATAATCCAAATAAATTCAATAATAAGATCAATAACAACATTCAATAACCAATAATCTAAATCCATTCACTTATAATCTATTATACAATAATTCAATTTAATAAAATGAATATTGTTGTGCAATAGCTATTAATAAAGATAACACAATTGTATTAGCTGGGTGTGAGAATAAAATCAAAGTATTTGAATTCAAATAAGAATAGTTGAAACAAACTTAACTTCTAAGTGAACATTAGAATACTATTATTACTTTAAATTTTATGAAGAAATAGAATCAATTTATATCTGGAGATGTTGGTGGATTGATTATAACATGGTCTATGAATCAGAATAGTCAATGGATATTTTAATAACAATTAAAAGAACATTCTAAATGTATTAATTGTTTAGTAATTAACAATAATGAAGATCTTATGATATCAGGAAGTGAAGATAACAAAATTAAATTTTGGTAAAAGTAGAATCAATGGTTATGTTCATAAACTATTACAGATCATACACACTATGTATTTGGATTAAGTTTGAATGACTCATAGAATAGAGTGATATCTAGTGGACGGGATAAATTAATATTAATAATAGAACGGTCATCATAGGATTCAAAATGGAATATAATATAAAAGATATCAGTTCAAGTGGAGGGTAGTAGATTATGTTTTATTAATGATAATGTTTTCACATTTTAACCTGATTGTTAAGAGTAGATGGATGTATATGAGATGAGTAGTACCAATAAATAGTACTCGAAGACAAAACAAATTGCTGTTAAATGTGGTCAGAGTTGTCATTATTATTTTCCTTAATAATATATAAAGTAGAAATGCCTGCTTGTGAATAAGAATGGATAATATGTTAATTTAATAAGGAAGAACCAAAATGCTGATTTTATAACTCAATAATCTATTGATTTTGGGCATCAATATGTATATGGATAAATGAGTGAAGATGGAAATTATTTGATTACTTGGGATTATGAATCAAAACAAATTTAAATTAGAAAATATCAATAACAATGAACAATATTATTAAAATTATTCATTATTTATTCATTTTTAATATCCAAGACAATTTTTATTTAGTCAATCGAAAGAAATAAAAAGTCACCAAGAATTTTAGATTATAGGTTTTTAACAGGGATTCAAGAATAAAATCTAAATAAGGATGTAAAAAATATGGAAAAAGGGTAATGAACACAAAAAAAAAGTAATATAAACATAAAGCTTTCAGAAGAAATTATAAAGATGAATACTCCATAATTCAGCAACTACAATTTTTTTGCTTTTGTGATTTAAAATAGTTATGGACAATTATTACAAAATTTATTCTTTATTATGGATAAGATAAAGTCTTACACTAGCTAATATGATTTAAACATATTTTCAACACTTAAAGAATCCAATAATAAATT